ATCTCATACCTCCATGAAATATGATCTTGATATGTAAATGTAAATTTCTTCTTTAATTGTGCAAATGACCTCTGCATTAACATGATATATGCATCGTGATGCATGTTAACTTTTGATTAACTTACAGATGTCCCAAGTATGACATTCTCATCATTCACCATTACGAAGTCATAGAATTTTCGCATTAATTATGCAAATTAGGTCATCATTTGCATAATTAGTATCTGTTAAAGTTCCGCCTGCCATAGGTTACATACATTACATGTATGTAAGTAGTATAATGTAAAACACTAATTATAAAATTTCCTCATTAATTATGCAAATAAAGTCCTCATTTGCATAATTTGCATTTAATTATGTACATCTCTCTCTCTCAGCTACCTAAACACCAAAATTAATGAAAATATGTTTTTCCTGTCTGGACTTATTGGCTTTTAAACATTTCGCCAGAAATTTAAAGTGCCCTGCAGTTCCAGAACAAGCCGCTAGGGGGCTCATATGACTTCTTCCCAAGCACGAGAGCTACCTTCCATCAAAATTTCATGACCCTAGCATGTCCAGATCGCGAGATATCAAAACCGGAAGTTGCGCTGCAGTACCAAGGGAAGCCACTAGGGGGACCAAAATCTACTCATTTCTAGTTTTCGTCACACCCTACCAACACACCAAGTATGAAACCAATCCATCCAGGCGTTCTTGAGTTATCTTGTTGACCAACAGACAGACAGACAGACAGACAGACGGACAGATAAACGCAACTGAAAATATAACCTCCATGACACATTTCATGGAGGTAATAAAATAAAATAAAGAGGTTGTTATAAAATAGACAATAGATCCACGAACCTGTACGTTTCCCTGCGCGCATGTGTACCATCCAACGTAGTTCAAGTGTCGCAAACGCAGCCGATGGCCTCTCCGACTCTTTAAGCAGAGGTTTGGATTTATTATTGGTGTGTTTTAGGCTTTTTTATTGTGATTTATTTTTTGCACTGTTTTTGCACGCTAACCTAACCCAGCTTTTAATAGATTATCCCCGACCAGGGTCGAGTCACTGTCGGCAGTTGGGTTAGCGTAAGAAAAAACAGTGCAAAAAAAAGCCCGATAAAAAAAGCCTAAAATACGACAAACATTAGCCAAAATCCAAACCTCTGCTTGGAGAGTACACTGTAGGAGTCTCTATTATCATATTCATCATGCGAAATAGTCCGCCCGCACTCCCAGACAATAATGAGACCTCCCCACCTGTTGATATGCTTTGTATAACACTTTGTATAAATATTTAACACTTGAACTGTTTAGGGGCAGAGTGCTCGACTCGGAACCCAGAGGTCCCGGTTTCGAGTCCTGACATGCCACCGGTCTTGCGCCCTTGGGAAAGGCACTTTACACGACTTTCCTCACTTCGCTCAGGTGAAAATGAGTATTGTATTGTCCCTGTGCTGGTGGCGGCATTAATATAAGTTGAAAAAAAAATTGAGTGTGCCGTCACCACGTCCTGAGATTACATGTTGGAATATTAAAAAAAAAAATTCAGACGTGTCTGAGGCAATTCGGCACGTCTGCCATGTTGATGTTGAATAAAAGATGTGATTCCCACGCACCACGCACAGCCACAGGCGAGACAAATAAAGCCATGGCGACTACAACAAACGTCTAGTACTTCGGCGGCCCCATAGTGTAGTGGTGAACACGTTGGACTTTGAATCCAAAGACCCGAGTTCGAACCTCGGTGGGACCTCATCAAGTTATCATTTTTCACAAAAATTAAATAAAAAAAAGAAAAATGTAGAAAAAAAACCAGCGCCTAAAGATAAAAATGCCTGAGCTCGAAGGACTTTGAATCCAAAGACCCGAGTTCGAACCTCGGTGGGACCTCATGAAGTTATCATTTTTCGCAAAACAAACAAAAAGCATGAAAATTAAAAATGTTGAAACTTTTTTTAGCGTATCAAGATCAAAATGCCTGATGATGATGTGGCATTTCTTGGACATTGAACCCACAGAACCGAGTTCGAAACTCGGTGGGACCTCATTAAGTTATTATTTTTCACAAAAAGCACAAAAAAAAAAAGATGAAAAATGTTGAAAAAAATGCCAGCGCCTAAAGATAAAACTGCCTGAACACGATGGACTTTGAATCCAAAGACCCGAGTTCGAACCTTTTTGTTTGTTTGTTTCGCATAACCGGTAAACCGCCTTCAGGCGTAACACACCAGTTTTGTACATGTGCGCACATGTACAAGCTGCGTAAGACCGGACTGTAAGTTTTGAACCACTCACACCGGGAAGATCCCCTACTCTTTTCGATAAGTGCGGTGGGTTCTTTAACGTGCATGGGGTGTGGCTCTCCCAAACACGGGACCTCCATTTAACGTCCTATCCGAGGGACGTCCCTAACCGAAGCTAGGTACTCATTTTCACCTGAGTGAAGTGAGGAAAGTCGTGTAAAGTGCCTTTCCCAAGGGCACAAGATCGGTGACATGGGCAGGGTTCGAACCCACAACCTCTGGGGTGTGAGCCGAACGCGCTACCGACTGCGCCACACGACCCCTCCCACCACACGAACCTTGATGGGACCTCATCAAGTTATCTACCACCCCCCCCCCCAAAAAAAAAAAACATGAAAAATGTTGAAAAAAATACTAGCGACATCAGATCAAAACGCCTGATTTGATATGGCATTTCTAATGTAGTGGTGATCACGTTGGACTTTGAATCCACAGACCCGAGTTGGAACCTCGGTGGGACCTCAAGAACTTATTATTTTTCACAGAAACAAACAAAAAGATGAAAAATGTTGACAAAATAACAGCGGCAAAGACCAAAACGCCTGATTTTAACTGGTGGGCCATTTTTAAGCGATTGCGTAAAAAACATTAAAAATGTTAAAAGCATACCAGCGACACAAGATCAAAATGTCTGATGTTGATATTGCATTTCTTAATGTTGACCTGTCTATCCCTGAAAAGACTCTTGTGACAGTTTTGCCCAATTCCAAGCCTGGACCCAACTCCTGACCCAATTCCAGTAGCCTGGTTATCAGACCTATTACAGCTCCCGGGTCATACAGCCTCTCCGCAAATTGGAGAGGATGTAGGACTCGGGAGCTATAATAGGTCTGATAACCAGGCTACAATTCTAGACCCAATTCTGGCTACCTTTAATTAAGAGACTCATAAAGTAACGGACATCAGAAATGTCCAAAAAGAACGGACATGAACCATATATCAGCTCCCACTCTTACGTGTGTAATTTGTACCATTTATGCGTGAAAAATTTTGTATAGATTTATCAGGACTTTAAATCTATATCTTTGTTATATATTTTGTCTGACTCTGACCTCTTCCCTCATGACCACAAAAAGCGGCATGAGGCCGATTTGAGCTTCTCATGGACAAAGAATGACCCAAACATGGTTTTTGGGGATTATGAAGAAGTGTAGAAGAGCGTGTACAAGAAATGTTCCATATATGTAAGACAAAAAAGGACAATATCTCAGGAGCCTCAGACTCATTTATTCCAGGTCGTTGGCACTATTGCTATATTCGGTGACATCCGATCTCTATAGAACATATTACTCAGCCAACTTTTAAATAGACAAGGTCGCAGAACACGAAACTGCTTGCGTCATAGAATGACGTACGTCCCGCTCTGATGACGTACAAGCACACATTCGATCGAACGCATCGAACGCACATGGAAATGACGTTCAGAACGCGTTCGAATTTGACGGATATGACGTAGTTAAACCGTGACGCAGGCAGTCTGGTGATCTTTGAACTCATCTATTGATGACCACTTCCGGTCTGGACTTGCTTGGACGGCCTTCAAGGTGCGTCCTCCTCCTCGTTGTCGATATTCTGTAAAAGAAATAATAAAAAAAAAAGAAACTTAGCAATTAGCAGTTCATTGCGAACTGGTCTATGATATCCATCCATCCATACATACATACATAGTTTTATTACATACATACATCCATACATCCATACATGCATACATAGTTTTATTACATACATACATACATACATACATACATAGTTTTATTACATACAACCAACCAACAAACAAACAAACAAACAACCAAACTAGCCAACCAACCAATAAACCAACTAACCAACAAACCAACCAACAAACTAACAGACAAACAAACGCATAACGTTAAAAGATATGTGTCACCTAATAATCAGTCCTTGCGCCTGCATTTCTCACTAACTACGTAGCATTCCACTCCTTAGATCATTAGTAAGATAATGTCAAGTCTTACCTCCTCCATCCTCTTAAAGAGGCCCCTGGCCCGCTTGAACCACTCGTCCTTGGAGATCTTCCCGTCATCTGTAAGATCAGAACAAAGTAGGAATAGAAGTATTAAAGCAAGGTTAGCACGAAAGTTCTTCTGAGTGACAATTAAACAGTTCTCCAACTCAACGAAATTTGGCTTACGGGATTTCTACGTCCCTGAATAGTTTTATCAGATTGGTAAAAATCTGAGTAAAAAGAAATTCTTTTTACACAACCAAGTCTTTTATTCAGCCGACGTTTCGGTGACCGTCTGTCACCTTCCTCATCAGGGCTGGTTCACATCGCACTGCAGCACAGGTGTCGCTGCTATAGATGCATTCCTAAATGTACAATACATGTGCGAAACGTCGGCTGAATAAAAGACTTGGTTGTGTAAAAAGAGTCTCTTTACTCAGGGAGTTCTACTTGTCTACAACACTTGGGTGAGGTAGATGATGAAGATCGAGAGATTCAGTAGAAAATTCTGGAGAGTTAAAGTTTTTTTTAGTAGGAGAGCACTATTCTTACTATATAATAACAAGACTTAATTGTAGTTAAGTGCAAGTGTAGTTGAACTGCACATGAAGAAGGCCAACAGTTCAAGAAAACATACCGAATACCGAATCAAAATATGTAACGTTACCGGCTATAATGTATGAAGTATAACACTTAAGCAGCAAGTCTATCGCAGTCTATGGGTGAAAAATTAAGATAACGAAGATGATATTTACCGTCTTTGTCCACCTTGTCGAAAAAACTGTTGAACTGTTTTTCTCCGATGCCAACTTCGTCTCCTTCTCCAACCAGCTTTAAATTAAAGTAAAATAAAACAAGTAATAATTGTCAGTCAGGATATAAAGAAACTTTTAAACAGAAAGAAATGACAAGTTGCAGTGCTGTGCTCGTTGCGTTACCCTCTTTAGTGCGCGCGGGCAAATTTAAAAAAATCCGGCTAAAAATAAAAATGCTACTAAACCACAGGAATACAAAACTGGTATTGTGAATTTGCGGCAGTACTTAGCGACGTATACGACAAGCCGGTACATGCTGGCTTTTGGCGGAATTTATGAATCGGCACTGTACGCATGTACTTGAGTTCTTGAGTCTTGGAGCTTCGGTAGCCTGGGTGCCCGGCTTCGTATTGTCGCTATTACCATGGACTACCAAGGCCAGAGCCTCGGTGGGCGTGATTTTTGTTGGAACAGGCGAAAATCAATGCGCGCGCGGATGTCATCCATAAAATTAACTCAGTGCGGCCTTAACGACGTCACGTACCACGAGGTTGATGGCTTCATAGAACTCCTGCTTCTCCAGAAAGCCGCTCCCGTCCGTGTCCAGCTTGTCCCACGCCTGGTCTATGGCCGTCTTCATGTCATCCTGACAACAACAAAAAAACAACAAATAACGTCTTCATGTCATCCTGACAACAACACAACAATAAAGTCTTCATGTCATCCTGACAACAACCAAACAACAATAAAGTCTTCATGTCATCCTGACAACAACCAAACAACAATAAAGTCTTCATGTCATCCTGACAACAACCAAACAACAATAAAGTCTTCATGTCATCCTGACAACAACAAAATAACAACAACAAACAACGTCTTCATGTCATCCTGACAACAACAACAACAACGACAACAATAACGTCTTCATGTCATCCTGACAACAACAACAACGACAACAATAACGTCTTCGTGTCATCCTGACAACAACAACCAAACAACAATAACAACAAATAACGTCTTCGTGTCATCCTGACAACAACAACAACAAATAATGTTTAGGCCTAGTCTATAATCGTCTTCATGTAATCCTGACAACAACAAAACAACAACAACAAATAACGTCTTCGTGTCATCCTGACAACAACCAAACAACAATAACAACAAATAACGTCTTCATGTCATCCTGACAACAACAACAACGACAACAATAACGTCTTCGTGTCATCCTAACAACAACAACCAAACAACAATAACAACAAATAACGTCTTCATGTCATCCTGACAACAACCAAACAACAAATGACGTCTTCATATCATCCTGACAACAACAAAACAACAATAAAGTCTTCATGCCATCCTGACAACAACCAAACAACAATAACAACAAATAACGTCTTCATGTCATCCTGACAACAACAACGACAACAATAACGTCTTCGTGTCATCCTGACAACAAGAACCAAATAACAACAACAACAATAACAACAACAAATAACGTCTTCGTGTCATCCTGACAACAACCAAACAACAACAATAATAACAACAAATAACGTCCAGGCCTGGTCTATAGCCGTCTTCATGTCATCCTGACAACAACCAAACAACAATAAAGTCTTCATGTCATCCTGACAACAACCAAACAACAATAACAACAAATAACGTCCAGGCCTGGTCCATGGCCGTCTTTATGTCATCCTAACAACAACCAAACGACAACAACAATAAAGTCTTGACATGTCATCCTGACAACAACCAAACAACAATAAAGTCTTCATGTCATCCTGACAACAACGACAATAATAACATCTCTTCATGTCATCCTGACAACACAACAAAAACGACAATAACAACAACTGACGGTCAGGCCTGGTCTATAGCCGTCTTCATGTCATCCTGACAACAACCAAACAACAAGAAATATCTGATGATATTCTGACGTTTTTAAAATCATAGTCAGTTGCTTGAGTAACTGAATATCGAGTTGCTTGAGTAACTGCTTTTTGGCGCATCGTATTACCTGGATGTCTAACCTTCACCGACGTAAAAAAAAATAAATGAATAATTTAATCAACCCCGTAAACAAAATAACATTAAAATTCAGATTTACCTGCATACTAACTGGCAGCTTCCAGGTTCAACCATCCAAGATGGTGGACATTAGTGACGTCATAGTCACATGATTGCAAAAAAAATAGATCTTACCTCTCCCTTCATGAGACCCTGTAGGGCGAGTTTTATCTTTGCTTTGGGAACCGTCCTGGTCCTTTTCTTTTCTTCGCCTGACATGTCGGAGCCTTTTTTTTCTTCAAGCTACCTGTATTCCATGTCGAAATATCGGTAAGGTGGACAAGGTAACGTCTGCATAATAACTCCAAGCGTTGTCTACTTCGTGAAACATGGGCCCATTGTATTTTTAAAAAATTACGAGATCTAATGATAACTGTCAGTTTAACCGTTCTTTTCTCAGCTGTTTTAATACAACAACAATTTCTTTCCACTGCAGTTGGTTATTACAGTGTTACCCAAGTGAAGACAACGATATTTTCTGAACCTGCAAGAGAGGACCTGTGTAACATGTGGTGCCAAGTCTCGCACGAAAATCCAGGGGGCGTGTTCTTTAAAAGCCCGACTAGCTAATCTCCAAGCAGATCCCTCTCGGTGGCAAAAAGACAGTATCAAATTGGCCAGGCAGTATCCATTAGCCAGAGAAGCTCTGCGGCCACCGACGGTTGGTGGGGGTCAGGACAAGAAAAAAACGGCCATATATAAAAAGGTAACGATCATTCCCCCCACAACCTCTGCTTTAAAAGCCCGACTAGCCCCTCAGGCTCATCCATGCCAGGGACAGTGCATTGTTCTTGATCATACGCGTAGTGCCACGCATACTCTCCAAGCAGAGATTTGGCTTATTTACTGGCGTGTTTTAGGCCTATCTTAAGGCTCTCTTCCTTGTATTTTTATTTACAACATTCTAGGGGTGGCCAGCAGTAACTGTCCGGCAATATTTGGATACTGTTCTGCAAATCTGATACTGCCTTTGCAGCCACCAATACATCTGCTTGGAGATTACCATATGCATCTGCACAGCATAATAGGCTGTTCCAAGAAGCCTGTGCTGTCCGGTGTACACTCTACAGTTCAAACCCGAACTACTGTACATTGGGAGAGATTTACTTCACTTTTTTCCTGTGATTCAAACACATTATCACCCTAGCTGCCCGTCGCATAGATGCACGATCATTTTTAAGGGAATTAAACAATAGTTTTGGTAAAGCCCAGCGCCCAGATCCCGACGAACAAATACACCCAATTCTAGCCCGAAACTAGTTATGCCAAAACATGAACTGGGCCTAGAATTACTACTCTCTACCAGGCTAACTACTGTGGCTATATATAGAATATTTGCCAGGGGAGTTTGGCCGCCTTGTAGGTTTAACTGGCCGCGCATTTGGGAGGGAAAGAAACTACCTCCCCGCGGCCGGACTCCCTTGGCCAATTTTACTCTTTCTTGCCAAATTCTGCGATCCGTATTCCCGTAGAAAGGCCTGGTGGAGGCTATAGAATTACCACCGAAAGTCGCCGCAGTTTCAAGTAAACACACAAGAGAAAAACGGAGGAAAAGGAAAGAAGGCAGTACCCACCTGTAGTCTTCTGAAGTCTCTCTGGAACTGTGGGGACAACAAGTAGCTCGCTCACACTATACCTCAGGCGTCTCAACTGCCAATCAGATCACCCCATGTCATCGACGTCATACACCAAGCAATTAAAGGCAAAACTGGAAATACAAGCATGTATTCTGAAGAAGGCAATCTGTATGATATTGATGCATACTATCCCACGTTTACTTAGCACATTTGAATCAGCATTTCATAAGTTAGGAGTTTAAAACTGCAGAAACAAGCCCAAGCCAAGATCCTTTTTTTCCCCAGAGCCCTTTATTTTCTGGGTGGTACCCAAAAAAACCAATCCAAGTCCTTGCAGTAACCGTTTTTCGGAAGAATTTAGGGTATTTTTGCTCCTTGAATGTCGGTATACATTGGGGCACTGTTGTTTTAGCTTTGTATGTGACTAGAATATCGACTTTGAAAAATCGGGTTTTCAAGCCGAAAAATTGCATTGGATGCCTTTAAGCCTTATATGCCAGGTACATGTATGCAAAAACACCTGGTCTCTACCTGGCCTCGGGGAGTAGAAATAGGCCAAATAGATAAAGTAACATGCCAGAGTGGGCAAACTGTACTCCTTAATGCATTAGCAGACTAACTCCCCTGACATGTTGTCTATTTGGCCAATTTGTACTCTTTCCAGCTGCCTTCGAGTTTGAGGCTTAAAAACAATACAAATCTAGTCGCAGATGCTAGTAGCGTAACAAGAATTCAGAGAATACTGTGCAAAAATTTCACCCAGACTGCCTACCTGTTATTACCAGCCAAATGGGAGGTTTAAAGCTCTTATCACATATTCAAATCAATAATTTGGCTATATCTACAGATTATTACTATATTTTCGTTGGCACAAACGTACGTTTGTAGCTTCCATCATTATTAATAAAGTTTCATCATTAAATCAAAACTGAAGTTTTATGTTGTTAGGAATTGCCAAAGTTCTGTATTTAAAAAAAAATAAATAAATAAATAAAAAGGGCAATTAAAACTTGATGATGTCATGCATGTGGTACCAAAATTTATTTTGGGAACCTTATGTTGCTAGGTACCAATATTCAGTACAATCCCAGTTCTCTCTCATTCCTTTACCAGTAAAACAGTACAAACTCAAATCACCAAATTAGCCGCTCCAGAGACCTTAACCCAGCCAAGGTAGTTTGAAGAATAACAAGTATAGAATTATGAAAGGTTGATACATATAAGTCTGTTTTATTTCATTTTCTCACTTTTCTTACAGAGTGCAGGAGGCATTGTTGGTAAAGATCTTGCAAAAAAATTGAGATCAAAAGTCCTACAACCATTGGGAGTGAAAAACCACTGTGTCGGTGTGTACTAAAATATACAGAAGGAATTCCATTAACTCTTGGATAACATCCTCTGGACACTGAGAGCTACATCAAATTGCTTCAAAATCATCAAATATAAAGTTTTACGTCAGGTTTCTATGTGTTGAAAAGTTGCCAGAGAACTGTACCCCTTTTTTTTCTATCATACATTTTATCAAAACATGTCAATCTTGAAGTGTACGTAACAGCTACAAACATAATTCCACCAGGTCACATACATGTATATATCCTTAGGAATAGCCAATGACAATTGTATCCTATGTTCAGTGTTAGTGTTACATTCTCCCATAAGATGACAAGTTAAATGAAGTATCCGTAATCTATCAGGCTTCGGGAGGTGGCTGGAAAGAGTAGAAATTGGCCAAATAGAGAGAGATAACATGCCAGGGGAGCTGGTCCGCTAGAGAGTACGTTTTGCCGCACCCGAGAGCAGCAAACTGTTCTCTCCAGCAGACCAACTCCCCTGGCATGTTATCTCTCTATATTTGGCTGATTTCTACTCTTTCCATCCTCCTCCCAAAGCCTGATAGAGGCTATGTTTCTGTGTTAGTGTTACGTTCTCCCATATGATGACATGTTGAATGAGGTGTCCTGTCTGGTATGCCGGGCTGCCTTCTGTAGTGCCGACTGGACCATGTCTCGTGACACCCTCTCCACGTTCCGATGGTACACGGACAACTTCTCGGACAGATCCAGGTGTAACTGAAATGCAGTCAAACATTAGACAAAGTTAACGATTGCAAAGCAAATGGTACATTATGTGATTACCTTCAAATGTGCCAAAAAAAAAACGGCCAGGCGTTTCAGTTCCATGTGTATCTGAACAGTAGTCAAAATACTAGTAATCAACTCAAAATTACTCAAGTCATGACGTACTATTGTATGTTGGAAGCCCTACCTGTACAATTTAAAAGTTATAGTTAACTTTAATCTGTTATTTTCATTTTTCAAAGCTGCTTATATATAAGAATAAAAACAAGTTGATTTGCACCTTGGCATAGCTGTGGTTCCCCTCTGCTGTCCTGAGTGTGTACAGAAGGTGGTCGATGGCTGTGTACGGTAACCACACACTGGGCGACGTCGCATGAAGGGCACTCTGCAACAGCAGTACAGAAGATATAATTGAGAACAATTATTTAAAAAGTCAAAACTGAATATGATCCATGATGTAAAAGTGTGATTTGAAACTTAAAGATAACAATGGAATGCAATTTGTTCGCAGTACTACATAGAGATTTTGGGGCAATTGAAGCGATTGCATCAATTTGCATGGAGTGCACTCCAAAATATCAGCAAGGAAGACGAACAAATGTTAAATGTTAAACCTTGAGCCTCCTAAGGGAACTGTTGGCACCAAATTTGTACTGGTTATGAGGTTAGGCAGCAGAGAGATGGTTAACAGTCAATACTTTAGTTCTAAGACATAATTCATAATAACACAATTCATTATGATAGAATTCGGCTGAACAACAATTTCAATCAGTATCCTACTCTATGTATGGGTCAGAGTTGACAGGTCATGACCCCTCACCTTTAACCCGAAGTACTCGGTGCCCTTCCCCAGCACGGCATCGATGTACTCCCCCACAAGGTGACACGCCTCCTCCAGCAGGTCAAAGTTCAAGTACAGTCTCAGCAGCTCAGAGGCATTCTTTTCCTGCAACAATCACAAAATTCAAGACATTCCTTAATTCTTAACATTTAAGCTTGTTTTGTCGGTGAAGATTAGATATCCAGGTAATAAAATATGCCAAAAAACTCAAGCAACTGGATAGGATTTTGGAAACAGTCAGACATTTCAGTGACCATCCACTACCTTTGGTCAGTAACACTGGAGAGTTGTCAGAAAAGCAGGTGGTTTATAAACACGAACTATTGATTGATTATGCAAATCAGTAAAGACAAATTTTTTGAAAGACTAACTTTTTCTTTTTCTTTCAGGTCATCCTCAACTGAGATGAAGTAGATGCTTATTAATTTTTAAGTAGGTACGTACATTGTACCTTCAATATGGCTCGCATAACGTTAGCCCAGCACTGGTAATGCTGAGGTCACATTTCGAAACCGGGGCCCGACCGGGCAGTCTTATAGAATGAAAAGTATGATATAAAAGACAACAAAGCACAGAAAAGTTTTTGATGATAAGGCCACACCAATTTAATTTCTTGGTTAACGGATTTTTCTAGAAAAATCATGGAGCGGGCGGGCGAAAAAAAAATAAAAATAAAAACAGGCCTAGGCATCCTATTATGGTCCAAAATGGTACGAAGGAGCCATGAAGTCAACACACCAGGCTGGTTCAAAATTTAAACAATGAATTTTGAACTTTTATTGATACCATTGCATTGGAAGATGGAATAACTGTAACAACTAGGATGAAAAGGACTGTTTTCAACTGTTCATGGCAAAATATGAGCATTTTACAGTTGATTCTGAATTTTTATTTTTATTTGCAAATCAGAAAAAAATGAAGCGGCGAATCCGTTAACCAAGAAATTAAATTGGTGTGGCCTAATCATGGGCACTCTATCTATATACTCTTCATATGAATTGTTAGATTTTCGTTCATACAAACAGCCCGACCGGGCCCTGGTTTGGAAATGTGACCTCAGCATAAGGGCTCTTTGGGTTCTTTTTTTTAAACTTAAAGGTCACTGATGTTACAGAAGAACAGATCCTCCTCAATTGTAATTTTGAAGGTCGCAAAAGCTTTTGAAACTATTAATTGCTAAAAGTAAAGGTAACCAACGTCAACAGAATATGTCTTGACCTTGTTAAAGTTAGAAATCACAAGGTTAAGGGTCACGGAACACTCCAGAAGTACTGACCTTGTACGCCCTGACCAGCCAGGTGGGGAGGGGGGCGCCCAGGGACAGCAGTTTGTTGGCCACACTCTTGTGGTAACCTTTGACCCCTGTGATGTCAAACCTCTCCAGATAAGCCTGCAGTAGCTGCCAGGCCTGGTCAGCGGCACTAAAGGGAAGAAGTTAGGTATATTGTTTAACTACATGAAAGTTCATTCTGTGTTGGTATAGTTACACAATTTAGAGTTAAAACTTTTGATCCAACACAAATAAGTTCTCTCACATACATGAAGAGCTTTCGACCAATCAAGCTGGTCTTCCTCAGTAGACTGAGCCAGTGAGGTTTGTCACATGGCTTCTTTGAAGTGTGACGTAAACTCTGAGTCAAAAGTATGTATCTCGTAGACGATGTCTACCTTTGACCCAGTGTTGACGTCACACTTCAAAGAAGCCACGTGACAAGCCTCACCGGTGATCAGTTTACTGACTCAGAGTCAGAGGAAGACCAGAATCAGTGAATGAAAGCTCTATGACTGGTGTTGGATCAAAAGTTTTAGCTCTAAACAAGTTTGTTGTTTGTTTCTTGTAATGCATATTCCGTGATCGCCAGTTAAATTGTGACCAAACCAGCTTAGTACAGTAAGCTGCATAAGTGTTATATTTTCAGGCATGGCCATGATATTTGTGGGAACGAACAGTATGATATAAATGACGACAAAATCAATGATCCCAAAATGATAACAAGCATACAAAATGTAATCTGTCTATGCGTATATTCTTAGATTAAAAAGTCAATAAATTAATAAAGTTAGGGCTTACGTGATTGGCTTAGAGGTGTGTGTGAAGGGGATGTCGTTGGCTCCCAGCCAATCAAAGCCTTCCTTCTTTCCACCAACTTTGGGGATGTCTGGACCACTCAGTGTCAGTCGAACACATCTTGAAAAGTAAAACGATTGCAAAATATTGGTTACATGTTGAACAGCTTGCCGTCTCTTTACGGCTAACCATAACACAACCATGATTTGAAAGTGGCAGTATATTGCGAACAATAATTTTCTAGTCTTTGAACCTAAATACACCTAAAATGACTGGCCTTAGGCATGAGACAGGCAATTGTTCAAGTTTTCAAATTGACAGGGATGTTAAGCTGAGGTCCATTCTACATTGTATATTGTAATGTACATTTACAGAAAGTGTTAAAGGACATTGCTAGGTACAGTGAACAGTGAATCTGTAAACACTGTACATACACATAGCATCTGTCTTCTCTCTGTCACCACAAGTGGAAGAATATCTCCTCCTCTGTGAGCTAAAATGGTTCTAGATCACTTTCACTTTAACGTTCACTTGAAGCAGACTTACTTGGAGGCCAGCCCTTCAAACACAGGCACGAGTGTGAGTCTGAAGGCCTGTGACAGAGACACGGCGTTGTCAAACAGTCCTGCCTGCACCAGCAGGGCTACTGTCTCCTCAGCAGACAGGGGAGGACCTGCAGAAATAAACAACATATGAATCCCAGTTATACCATCAAGGCATTAACATGAGGGAGGGTTTCCACCACCTCAACTTACACAGAGTGAACCCACAGGACAGAGGCAGGCTACCAGCAATCATCAGCAAGCAGTTTGTAAGCATTGTCAAGTGACTACAACTACACATACATTTTGTGAATTTCACTTTTTCTCACTTCTTGGAAATGGAGAAAAGTAACAACAGATTTTTAAAACTCATTACACATTAACCAAGGCGATCCAAAATAAAAAAAAACAACTTCAGAATCTGATTAAATTTTAAACCAGGGCTTAACGACAGTCCCCTAGTCATACCTGTAGCGTGCGCAGGATCAGGGTCCCTCTGTATCAGGTGTAGTCTGGCCAGAACCACCATGTACATACCTGTAGCGTGCGCAGGATCAGGGTCCCTCTGTATCAGGTGCAGTCTGGCCAGAACCACCATGTACATACCTGTAGCGTGCGCAGGATCAGGGTCCCTCTGTATCAGGTGTAGTCTGGCCAGAACAACCATGTACTCCTTCTCCAGCTCTGACAACTCAAGGATCTCTACCTGCTTCTTCTCTGGAAAACAAAACAACAAAACAAACACTTATGGTAATGTTTGCAAAGCAAAATTTAATGCATAATGTTTAACTTAACTTGGTCTAGCCTAACATTAACTACAGTAACTCAAACGCATTCATATATAATAAGGAGATCAACCTGAGTCCTCTCTAACTTCTGTTCTGCTACATAATCATTAATGTAACCCAACACCACAGGGTGTTTGCTACAGCACCAGTTACCATGGCGACAGATGTCTGGTTCAGGTCATTGACCTTATTTGTTTGGAGAAGAAGAAGAGGAAGGAACTGAGCAAAAGCAATATGTTTTCCTTCTGCAAAGGTTAAATTCTATCATTGACATCGCAGAGAAAACAGCAGCAAAGTAAACATGACGGTTATGCACTCTCTGCTTCTGAAAATATATTTTTTCTGTGGTGCCAGGTTTCAGATGACATTCTAAATGTACATTACATTTCTCTTCACAAAATAATAAATTACAGTTGGAACCAGCACCAGTAAATACAAACTGGTATCAAGACCAGACACTGATAAAAGTGTACATTTGTTCCACTAACTGGGGCAGATCCCTACACTCATGTTACATTTCTCTTCACAGTTCACAGAATAACAGTAAGAACCAGTTCCTTACTGTCAGGCAGTCTGCGGTCCCCAGTGTAGTCTCTTTTTGGAGAAACACGCCCCTCCTCCTAAAACAGGTGGAGAAACAAACAGCATTAATATAGCCTGAATCAGGATTTTAGTGAATGGCATCTGGACAGCTACAGTAAGGGCTAGCCTAGTCACCAAGCATACACAAACCCTTAGCATACACAGACACAAGAAACTGCTTCAAAATAATGCTATGTGACAATAAAAGTTGAGGGGAAGCTATCTTAATGTTAGGACTCATTGGAGCTAATAGTATGTCAAGTATGATCTTCAACAAGGAATATTTTTGACAGTTACAACATAATATCTTTAAAGTTAGAATGGCTTATCTATCTTAAAAAAACAACAGCCCAGTTGACATTTTCATGCTACCCATTGATACATAGTAAGACTAGACCTTCTCTCCACACTGGAATGAATTGGGACTTACTCCAAATTTTCAGCTGATTCCTTCAACCTTGTCCACATAAACTTAAATTTCACGTATACAGTATCAACATGTTCAATCAGCAATAATTCCAATCAAATTAATTATTCTAATTACCGTAGCAGTCACTACCCTGACTGGTTTGACGATCCAGGCATATTTTGGGTCCACCAGTCGGAGTGTGTTGATGGCAGCCAGATAACACTTGGCCTGTTTCTGTAGACTTTTCACACCTGGGAGCTCTCTTCCTAGTCTCAGGCCATACTCGTACATCGTACTGCCAGCTGTGGAACAAACAAACAAACAAACAAACAAGGTTAGATCATCCACACTCTACACTGCTAAATAAGACTAAAAAAGGGAACTTCCATCTGATTTCTTTAAGCTTGTCCAAACCCAAGAAAACTGGTTTGGGAAGATAGAAAACAGTTACTGTACCAAACAATGCCTACACTAGTACATGTCAAGCAGATACAGATGGAGAAATTCACTCAAAAAAGAAAACATCGGCAGAATGTACTGCACTTGCACAAAACCCGTAAAATATAGCCCTTTGGCAGAATACCTCTTTTACGGTCGTAATACTAGCATATTTAAACATGACATCCCGTCATTCAGGTATTTAAAAACGACCTCCCATCCATAGTTTTCAATTGTGTTGGAAAAGATGTGAATCCAGGTTTTGCAAAGATGCAGCACGTTCTGCCGACATTCAGTTATGAACAGAGGTCGCACTGCATGGTAAAAGTGGCAAAAGACTGGTGAAGACACCATGAACCTTACCATGACAACTTGTTTATTTTTTCCACACACCCATTTCAACAAGCCAAAAATTACTTACTCAAAGACATGACACAAAGCTTGCAATAGGTAGGAAAGTTTGAAAGGTTGCTCTGACCCGTACCTTTCCTGTAGCTGCCCCTGTAGATGTGAAACGCGTACAGAAGGTCGTAGTAGTTGTGAGCTGTCAGGTCCACCGAGCGTGCACGGGACTCAATGATATATACAACCTGGCAGGGTAAACAAACAGGGAAAGTTACAAGAATCTACTTAGGCCACACCGACTTAATTTTATGGATGACATCCTCTGAAGACCCCCAAACTAGTGCGCGCGGGCGAATAAAATAAAAGTCCGGCCAAAAATAAATATGCTACTAAACCACAGGAATACAAAGCTGGTATTGTGAATTTGCGACAGTACTTAGCAACGTATACGACATGCTGGCTTTTTGCGGCATTTATGAATTGGTACTGTACTTATGTACTGAATTTTTGACTCGCGGAGCTTCGACTTCGATAGCCTGGGTGCTCGGCTCCGTTTTGTCGCTGACTACCATGGACTACCCAGGCCTAGAGCCAGGCCAGAGCCTCGGTGGAGGTGATGTTTTTTTTGTTTTTTGTTTTAGGGTGACAGGCGAAAATCAATGCGCGCGCGGATGTCATCCATAAAATTAAGTCAGTGTGGCCTTACAGTAATCTACTTATCTTATTTATTGGTAAATGCAACAATACTTCAAACTGATTTTTTTTAACCACCTGAAATCTTCAACGGTCAAGAATTTGCGCTACAAAATGAAGAAAACATTGCCATTGGGCATCGTGAAGTGTCGGCCTCAATAAATTATGTGGTCACAGTTTTGCCACTTCTAAACCCTGGTAGTGAAGTTCTTGCTACAAAATTTTGCTGTAAAGATGCCCCATTTTCCATTGGGAAATTTTTGCTGAGACATCCCTTCCGTATTTTGTATATGCCCTGAACCTAAACCTCTGGACTTTGAATCCACATCTGGACAAACATGGGTTTAGGTACTACATTGTACACAGTGCTACAACTGTTGATGACCTTACTTCATCATGTAAGCCGACATACGGGAACTCCACGAGAGTCTGTAGCTGAGACCGCTCACAAAGGACCACGATGAACTGTCTCAGGCAGTCTTTTCTCCTGCAGAAAATGTGTTAGGGTTGCAATCTTTGTGATATTCAAAGACAAATCAAACTCTACTACTGGATAAGTAATGGAGATAACTTCCGGACATCTGTCACTCTTTTTCAGCATCACTAAATGAATTGAGAGCACAAGTTGACACTAATTAGTAAATACACGGGAAGGAACTGGAAAAAAAAAACTGAAATTGACGAAGACTCGTATCACTATTATATAATGATGTAAATGAGGATAAGGTAGTTTCTATGGTAAGAAAATACCATAGGAACTGCTACTGTCCCTTGGATCTTAGTGATAATTCTTTAAGGCTAATAAATAGCAAGACTTGGGGGTAATGGTTTCTGCATTGTTTTTACTATGAACCAAATTTTCAATGTTACCAGAACCACTGTGGATGTACATATTGTGACTATGCAGAAATAAGTATTTCGAGCCGTCAATGAAATTTGGGACTACGTCCTCCCCACCTTGTATGATCAGGGTTGGCCGTCATGGCTGCGTAAGCCTCATTGTTGTGGCCCAGTTCCAGGTGGTACTTAAACACCTTTGACCACAGCATGGGCTGGAACAAAACAAATACAGGTGGGAGTTAGAGATAGCAGCAAGCAGGTAAGATAGTGGGACTGCTACAAATGTAGACAGGGCTTGAAATACTGAGTGCATGTGCACCTTAGTGCACCCAAATTTGGAGCTGTGCACCCAATTTTTTTTGTGGGTGCACCAGTGCAACCACATATTTTCATAGTTACTGTAGTATGCAGCATATTCTTAGCATCTAAGTGTCAGAAAATCATTGTTGAAGTACTTTTCTTTAGAAATGAAACCTCATTAAATTTTGCTGACATTCTACTTACTACAGTACTAACTTTGTTTTATATGGTGCACCCAAATATTTTCTTGTGCACCCAATTTTTTTTAGTTGGGAGCACCAGTGCACCTATTCTCAAAAATGTACATTTGTACTTACAATGTTGGGATCATCCGGCTGTGCCATGCCGATGGCAGAGTTGGCCAGAGAGATGACCAGTTCTGGTACCTCAAACTGTTCAAGCAACCTCAGGACCTGTCAACACACATGTAAGGTAAAACCCAAATGTCACACACTGTCAATGTGCACACAAATGATTCATATTTGTTTATTTGTTTATTTGAATTTACCATGTGTACAAGTATACAAGTGGAAGGGAGGACAAAACAGGTGCATTGACACCTTTACATATAAGGTGTATGAAGTAGTATTTTGAGGATCATTGGGAAGCAAGACCTCTGGCCAATCTTTACAAGTATGTGATACAGTAGTACAATATATACAGGATAGGCTAGTTTTCACAACCAATATCTATATCCCCTAACCTTGACCAGGTAGAGTACAGGTAGATGCTCCAGTTCCTGGTCTGTGGGCTGTAGGAGTTTGTTCAACAGGAAGTCTTCGTTCCCCACACCATGGACTCCCTGTTGGAAAATATTTCACTGGTTAACTAACTTTTTTTTATTTACATATATTTATTGAGTATTGGGCAAAAAGCACAAGTTGGATATAATATAAAGTTATATATAACACCTTCTAAAACATACAAGTGTAAAACACATTGACAAAATACATGCATAATTACAAGGTGGGTAAAACCAAAAGTAGTTGATGATCTATCAATTACGAGAATCTACTCGTACAGTAGATGAAGTTTTGGGCTGTAGGCCTCATATCAATTAGGATTTTACCATGGACAATATTGACTTAAGGAGGCCATATTATGTACTAGTACCTGTAAGAAGCAGTCCACGGCTTTGTGAGGCTCCCCACAGTTCAGGTGGGCTGCTCCCAGGAAGAACCTGCGACTGGAGGTGTTCCACACACACCAGCTGTCCAGCAGGCGCACATACTCCTGCAGGGGGAGGCATGGATCAGGGGTTTGGGGTTCTAGTCCCGCTCTGTAAGTACATGTACTCAACAATAGGTGTTCTACATGTAAGAGACTTTAGAGGAGCTGTCTACTGGAGGTGTTCCACACACACCAGCTGTCCAGCAGATGCACATACTCCTGCAGGGGGAGGAAATAATCAGGGGTTAGGGGTTCTAATCCCATTCTGTAAATACTCAACAACAGGTTTTCTACATGTAAATGTAAGAGACTTAGAGACGCTGTCTACTGGACGTGTTCCACACACACCAGCTGTCCAGCAGATGCACATACTCCTGCAGGGGGGGGGGGATGGATCAGGGGTTAGGGGTTCTAGTCCTGTTCTGTCTGTACAAGTACTCAAGAAAAGATGTTCTACATCTACATGTACACATGTAAGAGACTTAGAGGGCCTGTCTACAGGACGTGTTCCACACACACCAGCTGTCCAGCAGGCGCACATACTCCTGCAGGGGGAGGCATGGATCAGGGGTTAGGGGTTCTAATCCCGCTCTAAAGTACTCAACAACAGGTGTTCTACATCTACATGATTGTGTATTGAAACTTTAGAGGAGCTGTCTACTGGACGTGTTCCACACACACCAGCTGTCCAGCAGGCGCACATACTCCTGCAGGGGGAGGCATGGAGCAGGGGTTTGGGGTTCTAGTCCCATATAATTATACAACAATGAAATTCAATACAATGTTTGTGCATGACTGTCAGTCACTGGTTGAATAAGGTTTACTGTGAAAAACCTACATGATAGTAAATTTTTTTAGATATTTCTTAAACCTTGACTGTTTCAGCATGTTGGCAGAAGCTGCTGCACTTGCCTGAAAACCTGTTATGCACTGTGCTGTGTCAGAAAAGATGTCGTCTACAATGGGTAAAATTCTCATGCAATATTGACTAACACCCAATCAAAAATAATAAATCTGAGTTCGTTCTGCCGACGTGCTGACTTCATCTGGGCCATATGAATAATACTATGAAAGAACAACTTTTGAGACTGTTGTTTGTACCTGTAACTGCAGATACTGGCACTTGGTCATGAGGAATTCTGGGAAGAGGCTGCTGGGGCTCATGGGATACAGCAGCTGCAGTATGTAGAGCACGGCGGTCTGTAGCACCCCGGACCAGAGAGGACACGGGTCCTGGTCCAGCTCCGCACTGCCCGCCAACAGGCTCCCCAGCTGCTGACCTCCGACCCCGTGTAGGAACAGCGCCAGCAGGCTGCCCTCCGTCATCACTATGGAAACAACAGCATACAGCTGTCAATCATCAAGCTCATAATACATAGGTGAAGGTTAGACATCCAGGTGATAATGCCTTGATTCATGCCTTCAAGTACCAGAACCAAGGAGGTGTTCAAGAATTCATTCTTTCCTAGAACTAATGTGACAGTGGAACTCACTGTCACCAAGTACAGTAGGGGCATTGTCATTAGATAAATTTAAACAATGTCTAGAGTTAGATGTTCAAGGGTTAGGTGTAACAAGTCGATCGGTGTAATATAGCCAGCTGCCGCCGCGCTGCATGCCTGCGAAGCTGGTGTGTTACGCCGAAAGGCAGTTATACCGGCTATACAGATACAGAAGCTGGTGTGTTACGCCGAAAGGCAGTTACAAATGTATACCGGCTATACAGATACAGATACAGATACAGATAAGATATGCCAAAAACCAGTAACTGTTACTCAGATTGCAACTGGATATGATTTTGGAAACGGTCAGACGTTTCAGGTAGCATCCACTTAAGCTTTCGTAAGTGATACTGTAGAGCCTGCCTGCTTTTCTGACAACCCTCCAGTGACACTGACGAATGGTAGTGGATGCTATATAATTTTATAACATGACGTCACAGAAGTGGTGGACTGCTCAATCCTTGACAAAGACTGGAGTTGTACAGTAAAAAAAATTGTGATGTCTCGTGTTGAAAATTACTTTTTAAATGTGTGTCGTTATTGCGTGTTTGTTTGTTTGTTTGTTTAGGATCTCTGTGTGACTGGCTGGTACAGGACAACATAAAATTCCTGCTGAACTCCTCTTAGAGATTTCCCACTTTTTGACTGCTTACTATTTTTTGACAGTTATGTACCATGTAAATATATATCATGTATAATGTATTTGATAGAGGCATGTATAATTAAGTGAAGTTGATTAATGTGACATTTAGTGATTAAGCTGAAAATTATTGATGTACATGTATGATGCCAACACCAGGCTCATTTTTGTATTGATTAAAAAAAAAAACTTACAGTATCTGGGGAGGCCTGTGCCCAGATCTGAGATGTCCATGGTCTGTAGCTGCCTCAGGTTCATGTCTCTGTAGGACAAAACATCATCACAAATTGTAAAACCCCCAAAACTTCAACTGTAAGCCTTACATCACTTGCAATGCAAGTAGACATTTAATTTAATGCCTGCCCCCTTTCCATAACAGGTTGTGATTCATCTAAAAACTGTTATCTACTGTATGTTTAATTATTACCAATATAATTTGTCAACTGTTGGTGGAAGGTCCTGGACAAGCCATGAAGGGTTTTTACAAAATTGTATCTGCCCCCAGCATATCCTGGTTTGTTATGCTCATACTACTCTCTTTTGTTAAGTTCATGCTAATTTCACTATATGCTCATCTTACTACTCTAACTTTATATGTTATCCAGTGGAAACGTGGTCTACACAGAGATTCTCAAAATAATCTTCTAAAACTAAACAAAAAACAAAAGGTGAAAGGTTAACATGAATGTTCATCTGAGATGGTAAAATACATGAAGAAAATCAAACTGTTCTCCAAAATAATGTGGCTAATAGTCACGTGTCCACCGCACTTGCATAATAAAGCTGATGAAGCGATTAAGTCGAAAATTTCTGGTGAGTTATTTTCGTTGTTGAGTTGGAGAACAGTTTAATTTTCTTCAAGGTGAAAGGTTACTTCTACTCACAGGCTGGTGCTGGGAATGTGTGTGTAGGTAGCTGTGGAGACCCAGGTGATGACGTGATACACCTGCATCAGCTGGGCTGTCCTGGGAATGAGATCTGACTGCAGCTTGTTCAGACTGTCCTGGGACAGAGAGGCCTGCCACACAAACAAAGGAAAAAGGTCATACAACGACATGGGTAGAAGTTCACAAGTTCAAGTCACTTAATTTACAATCAAAGCACTAAAATATTGGTCAAACAACATTTTTTTATCAATATCTTTTATTACTTATAAAAGCCCTTGTCTTGCAGAGCCCATATACATGTACATATGGGGTGTGCATACAGTACCATCTACGTGTATATAGCACCCTGTATATGTACAATATGGGGATATTTCTTGTGCAACGCATCACATCACAGCAAAACGCAACAAAAGCAGAAGTAACTATGTCATCGCACCAGGCAAAAAAAGTCAAGGGTCTATGACCTGATTATGACAATCACATGAAATTATTGAAAAATTTTATGTGAAAAATTCCAGCTGGACAGGGGTTATTTTCAAAACAAGATGTCTACAACACAATGAATCTTGCAGTTTCAAAAAAAAAAGAAATTACAATTTTTGCCAAATAAGGTGAAGCTTTGACCCTTACCCTTTGCCCCATCCTTCCCATGAGGCCTTGCAGCAGCAGCAGGTCGCGGCAGATGGCGAGACGTGTGGTTGCGAGCCCCCTAGCGGACGTCTCCAGTACTGCATGTCCCGCCGCGCTGCCAAACACGTGGTTCAAACTCAGCTGTCTCAGGGGCTCCCCGGCTGGAAAAACATTTTTGTAACACTACCTTTTAGACATTCATGTAGAAATGTTCCCTTATCATTCAGCATTCATGGCATCATTGCTGTTATAGTATCCTTGGTGAATTAAGTTATGAAGCACAGTAAAATCTGTCCACAGCAACTGATGAGGGAACAGAAGACAGGCTAGGTGAACACAGGAGAGGATTCAAAATACTAGTACTTGGGTCAGGAATCAATGGGAAATACAGTCTATAGGTGGTCCTTATACATAGAGGTAGTCATTAGTATGGGTTTGACTGAACATACAATGTAAATAGCCAGGTTGTCTTTCTGTAGGGGTGGTCGCTAGTTTTGACTGTAATTCAATCCCTTTTTCCGAACAAACAAACAAACAAACAGACCCAGATCAGGCACAGCAAGGTTCTCCGGGTCTCCCCCTGTCACATCCATGGCCTGCAGTACCATGTCGATGGCCCTGGGGGCGTCGATGATCGTCTGCAGACTGGACTCCAAGGTGCTGATAACCTCAGCAGAGGACTGGTCCACATCTCTGCAACAGGAGGGGGGGAAGGGTCAGATTTTACTTAAAGACTAGGTATGGTTTCTTTTTGGTATGGGGGGATCAGGGGTTCTAGTCCCACTCTGTAAGTACTACAAAGACTAGAGAGAGAGAACCTAATCCTTTATCTGTCAGTGAAGGTTAGACATTTTTTGACATTTTATCTTGTAAATATCAACGCCATTCAGGCAACATTGTATGTCATGTTTGACTGTTATGTTTGGTATCTTAATTAAGAATTGATTGAATTGAATAGACGTTAGACATCCAGGTAATAAGATATGCCAAAAAGCAGTTACTCAAGCAACTGGATGTGATACTCTCTAGTGTCACTGACGAAAGCTAGTGGATGCTACGTAAAACGTCTGACCGTTTCCAAAATCATATCCAGTTGCTTGAGTAACTATTTTTTGGCTAATCCTTTATCTATTCAGAAAAAAAGATAACCTACCGGCCTCAGAGATGACGTTATTGACCAGTGGTTCAACAATGTTCTACGACACCCACTGCCTCTACAGCCTCAAAAATAGCCATAGGCAGGACCTTAACCTTTGCCTTGCACATCTTGTACTTCTCTCTTATATATCATACATTCATCAGAAAAACAGATAACCTACCCGGCCTCAGAGATGACGTTGTTGACGAGTGGCTCTACGATGTTCTGCGGAGTCTCCAGGTGATACAGGTCCTGCTCCACGGCTGACACCACGTCCGGGGTTAGCTGGTCCCGGATCAGCCGCAGGCAGTCACCCAACAAGACCACGTCACGACACAGCTTCTCATCTGGGGTGAGAATAAACAGCAAATAAGCGAAAAAACTAGCAACTAAATGCATGATACATATATGGGCTCCGCAGGACAAGGGTTAAGCGAAAAAGCACGCCAGGAATCAGGAACCCAGACCAGATCTCTATTGCTTGTAAAACTTCTTCCTTGGCTTTTAGACTTAAGACGTGTCAGCAAAAGAAACTTAGAAGAGTCACTGCTAAACGTTTGGAGCAACTGAGGTCACTTTCTATGGCAACAAATTGGGGACATTTTAGTGGATGTTTCTTTAAAAAGCTTGGCTGTTTTCTGATGAAAAACTCACCATAGGTCCTTGCCAACGGCCTGTCAAAGCCTTGCTAAAATTCACGCAACAAAACAATCATGAACACAAATGAGCCTTCACCAAAGGACATATGAAGATTTAAGGAAGAGAAAGATCTCCCGTGCCCTTATGCAGAGTGTAGGGTGGTTCCATTTCTGTAGCCCTTGGGCGACACACAGTTGTGCAAGGCTCTACGGCACGGCAGGGGGCTGGTCCGCTGGTAGTGCTGTGTGTTTGACCTTCCCATACGCTTTCTGATATGTGCTGAGTGCAACAATGTAAGCAGAGAAAGAAGTGTGTGCCATTTTTTAAGTCTTTGGTATGACCCGGCCAGGGTTTGGACACATACCTGTCCAACACGCCCAGTGTTCAGATTCTGCCAGAACGTGAAAGTTCCCCTACCTGCGATGTTGAGTGGAGCAGCAGACAGGTGTTGAGGCTGACAGACCCCCTGCGGAGACAGGTACAGGTGTTCCACTCCGTCACAAGGTCGTAGGAAGGACACAGCCCCCTGGGAGGAACACAAACTCATCCTTTACAAACTTACTGCAATTTTATTACAGAAAAGAATGTCAGAAAAGCAGGTTTATAAGTATGAACTATTGATTAAAGACAAATTCGTCTTTATTACTTTGCATATCAATATTAATAAAAACACTTAATATATAAAGCTGTCTTTCTGACAACTCTCCAGTGTCACTGACAATAGGTACTTGATGCTACCTGAAACGCCTGGCCATTTCCAAAACCATATCCAGTTGCTTGTGAATGAGTAAATGTTTTTTGAAACATCGGAGTTGTTGTTACCTTTTTGACCAGACAGACCATAGCCGTGGTACTGTGTACAGCACAGGTAGAACTTGTTCCAACACTGAACTCTACTGTCTACAGTAATCTATATACAGTAAGACATTGTGTGAGTATTCCTACCTTTTTAACCAGACAGACCATAGCTGTGTCCTCATCACTGTAGACACCCAGTGGTCTGGCTGCCACCTGATGGTACTGTGTACAGCACAGGTAGAACTTGTTCCAACACCACAGTCTACTGTCTCTACAGTAAGACATTGTGTGTTTTATCCTACCTTTTTGACCAGACAGACCAAAGCTGTGTCCTCATCACTATAGACACCCAGTGGTCTGGCTTGATGGTACTGTGTGCAGCACATGTAGAACTTGTTCCAACACTGCACGCTACTGGCTACAGTAAGACTGTGATTTTCCTACCTTTTTGACCAGACACACCATAGCTGTGTCCTCATCACTATAGACACCCAGTGGTCTGGCTACCACCTGATGGTACTGTGTACAGCACAGGTAAAACTTGTTCCAACTCCACAGTGTCTACAGTTACTGTAAGACATTGTGTGTTTTATCCTACCTTTTTAACCAGACAGACCATAGCAGTGTCCTCATCACTATAGACACCCAGTGGTCTGGCTGCCACCTGATGGTACTGTGTGCAGCACAGGTAGAACTTGTTCCAACACTGCAGCTGGATTTGGTAGTACTCCTCCTGTTGTACCTCGTACTCTGTCACTGCATTCTGGATCTGGGCACGGAAAAACACACATCAACCTGGGTCTGATCAAACTGTTCATTTCAGATGAAAGAGGTCTATACAGAACAAATGATGTCTGTTATCGTTTCTTCCATATCCATTGAGTATCTATTTCATAATGATAATATGTATTTTCTACATGTACATGTACCATGATCCTGTTTTGCAGCAGTCATAGCCTTTTGAGAGAGAGAGAGAGAGAGAGAGGGGGGAAAGAGGAGGAGAGAGAGAGAGAGAGGAG